GCTCGGGCACAGCGCGTTGCATTCTGGGTACGCCGCCATATTAGTAGCTAGTTGCTACGGTAAACAAAGACCTAAAACAGCATAGAGACAGAGCAGAAAGACGAGTAAACAGCGATGTTAAAAGCGAAGAAAGGATGCGGAATATACCGAGACACACTGCAGAGGGAAGCCAGGGACCGTTACCTGCAAAAGATGGGCTTCATAAACGGACTTGATCCCTACGAAGTAGAAAGCAAGGAGTGGTGCATTGGGGAAGAATTTCTACCGCCGTTTGCGAGGGAGGACGTATTTTCGTATCTAGTGTGTGGCGTCAGTGCCTACACACATGAAGAGTTTCGCTGCTACAAGTTGCTAGAGGCTTACAAACAGCTGACAGATGGAAAAGTTCATGACATGGAAGTTATCAAGCCGAATGAGAACACAGTCATCAGAGCCAAGGTAAGCTACCGTCTCAACATGGTGTGGTGTTTGTTGTGGTGATAAGACTAGGTGCTGGCACTAACGTAAAACATCAAAAATGTATCTAAATAAATCTTGTGCTGACTGTACGTGTCCAGGGATAATGTAGTTACATTCTGATGATATATGACTGTCCTAGCATGGTACTACCAACTTCAGCTCATGCTACATGCTACAGATCAGCCAACAACGGTTAACTTGAAATAATACATGAATAAAAACAGTATGTTCTGTAACTTACCAGAATGAAAATGCCGGGAACACACTCTCATGGACGCAGGGATTGAGTTGAAAGTTATATTTGGCCGTCTTACAGCAGCGACCCATGCTAGCCGGCGACTCTTTGTTATGGAGGACATTTGTTTTCCATTGAGACGCCTCCAGGTTGGAAAACGGTAAAAAGACAATCCATTTGGGATTTTTTTCCCCGTCCAGTCACAGCTTGCGCTACTACACCCTACGACACAGCAACGGGCGACCATAACGACAGCAGAGGTAAAATGAAACGGCAAAAAACTAAGCAAACTACTAGCAGAAGAAAGCTAGTCCTTACAGGCGCGAAGTCAAAGTGTAAACAGTGGGCTGACCAGCTATCAATATGGCTGCCGCGCAACGTGTGACGTCATGTGCCCGAGCCTTATATAATGTCTCCCAAGTTTCTGGAAAAATGTTTAAAGAAATTTTGAAGGGGGGCCACCTACTTTCCAGAAACATATCAGGCGTGTTATGAATTAGCAGCAAACAGAAAAGCTTAATTCCTGTCCAGAAAGAGAGCAGAATGAAGCCAAAGTTCACAACATAGGCTGAAAAGTATTAAATTAGCTGAATCAGAAAAGAAATTACAATGAAAAACTTTAATCTTCTCTGGTTGAAGGAAAAAGTAGTAGCTGAAGGATGGGAAATAAAATGTTGAGGAAGATGGTATTGAATACGTATCAAAATTGTCAAATCATATTTGGAAATGTCAAGACTTGGCAAAAGAATTTAAAATAATTTAAAATGTGTCAGTTGATCAGTATAAAGAAAACAGTGTCATCATTTGAGGATTAAAAATCTACAAACCTACGTGCAAGACTGACCATGAGAAGCAGAGGAAGGACAGAGAGAGAAGCTTATAGAAAGAGCTAATACCACTTAAGGAGCTGAATTTATAAAAAAAAAAAACTAACCTGCATGATACGAGCCGCTGTGGTGATGAAAGCACCGTTGGCAGGCTTAGGCTGCATGTTACGAGGTTAGCAGATGCTTTATTAGAGTGTAAATCTTAGAGCCTTATTAAGAAATGTAAACTGAGGTGTGTGGTCAACAGGCCTTGGTAGTGTAATTTGAAGAAATTGGTTGACTTTGGGTCATAGCTACGAGCCATACGGCACAATGAATGAGTGTGCGTAAGGAAGAGGCTTTTATTTTGTAGGGTCCCTTTAGTCTTATTTTGAAAGTCTATCATGGATGTGTTTCAAGGGAAGGGTCATGCCCAGCAGTGATATAGAATCCATTTCTAAATATGAAATCACTGGTTTTCCATGTTATTGGGTGAATAGATAATGTATTGGAGCATAAATGGGAGACTTTTATTGTGAAATTCGCTCTGGGGTATGTTGTGAAAAGGTCCCTAGAGTCTAATAAAATCAAGCTGGTAGAGTTTGGGTCATAATGCTGAGCCATTTGCATCAATTAATAGGCGAGTATAACATGGAGGCTTTTATTTTGTAGGGTCACTGGAGTCTTATTTTGAAAGTCTAGCAGGGTTGTGTGTTGAGAAAAGGGTCAGACCCAGCAATGATACTTGATGACTTCCAATCGTTAAATCACTCTTTTCCCCAGTTATTAGGGCAGTAGATGAAGTGGCAATGGGTGGCTTTTAATCTGAAATTTGCTGTGGGGTGTGTTTTGAAAAGCCCCCTAGAGTCTAATTTTTAAAAAGTGGTTGAGTTTGGGTTATAATGTTCAGCCATATGCTGGGAAAAAAATATGAGTTTAATATAGGGGCTTTTATTTTGTAGGGTCCCCGGCATCTTATTTTGAAAGTCTATCAGGGTTGGGTGTAAAGGGAAGGGACATGGCCAGTAGTCATATTGTATCCATTTCCAAATGTTAAATCAGTGTTATCTCCCTCCATTAGATTAAAATGTGCTGTTTAAAGTGGTGGAGGTAAAATCCTTTGAAGCACGGTTACCTTGACAACGCTTAACGAGCCTGTCAGTGACAGACTCGTTAAGCGTTGTCAAGGTAACCGCTTCAGTTTCGTTCCTTTGTTCTCAGGCTTTTTTGAATGGGAATATCAGCTCCGAACAAACAAGTGCTGAAGACAAACCGTAAATGGTATGTAAAAAATTCTTTCAGTCTAAGCGACAGCTATCCTTTATCTCCAATTGGGGTAACTTTCATGGCTGTAGCTCATTCACAACCTTAATGGGAAGGAGGAATAAAAAGGTTTGTAAATCCTGCTGGTCTCATTAAATAACATGGAGTTCCATGGCAGGGGTGAGCTGTCAAAAGCAAAACTTCCCCTCCGAACAAACGAGTGTTGAGCCAAAACTGTAAAAGGTAGTCAAAAAATTCTTTCACCGTGGACATCAGCCATCCTTCAGCTTCGACTGTGCCAACTTTCATGTTTCAACTAAAAACTATTTGGCCACGGTGACGATGTAAAAATGTGCATTTTCTGAGTTTGAGGATTTTTCTCAGAATCAGCGTTTTCCTATGCCCGAACAAGTCAGCTAAACAGCTAAACCATAAATGATATTGAAGAAATTCCTTCAATGTGAGTGCTAGAAGGTTCTGAAGATGTTGTATACCAAGTTTCATGTTAGTACATCAAATAGTTAATAAATGGGAGCGATACGAAAATATGTATCGTTTTGGATTTTGTCTGTGATTTTTGGAAAATCTCTCATTGGATTTCTATTGGGGAAGTGTGGACTTCTTCATGGTCTGGGCCAAACTGTCGGAAAACCGTAAATGCCACACAAATGAGGGTTATATTTCCTGAATCCTGACAAAAATCCCTACGTTTTGATGTATAATTTATTTCAATTGAGTTAAAAATGAGGGACTGAGAAGAATTTGTTCGGAAAAACCAGAACAGCTCAAAAGCTAGAGCACGCACTCTAGCAGTTGAAGAATTCCGTCCATAGACTTCCATTATAAATCTGAAAATCTTAAAAATTTCTTTTAAAGTTTGAAGCTTCACTGAAGCAAAACTGTAAAAGTTAGCAGAAAGCCGAGTTAAACAGTAATAGCAGAAAGATACAGAAACATTTTAAAAGTTGAATGGTGTTTCTAGCTGAAAGTATGCTGAAGTAGTTAAAGGTCAAAGATGATGAAGGTTTAGCTGAATTTTGCTGAAATCTAAGAATTCTACATGCATTTCAATGGGACAAAAAAAACGCAGAAAAAGCTGAATAACGCGAAAACTACCAAAAATATCTTTACCAAAAGACATAGCAGAATTCTCCTGAACGAGCTGAACGTTTTGATACCAAAATTGTTGAAATCGGTTGAAAACTGCGGGACTAGTTAGAGTCAGAAAAATTTAAAGTGAACAACAATAAGTGGGAATGCATAAGCATTCCCACTTGATAAAGAGAAACAGAAAAACAATAAGTGGGAATGCATAAGCATTCCCACTTGATAATAAAGAGAAACAGAAAAACAATAAGTGGGAATGCATAAGCATTCCCACTTGATTAGGATTACCATATATAAGAGCATTCTAAAATTATGCAAAATAAGAAAAATGCCAATATTGTAATTTTATCCAGCATAACTCAAGAATCTATAAGAGTTACACCATTTTTGCTGCTCCTGGCTTCTGTTGAACGTACAGATCGGTTCTACAACTCTGCTTTATGTCATGTCACAATGGAAATAAAACTGTTGCATTATGATCTTTCAAATTACTTTATTTTCCATTTATAATCAATGCATTCCGTAGCAAAAACATCAAGGGGGTGTAACAGCAAAAGGAAATCTCTGCTGACCCCTGAGTGCAACCTGAACAGTTAGTAAGGCGCACTTTGCTTAATAGCTTCATCGTGTTACTCAGCAACAAACTGAATTACAGGATCATGGAGAGTGCAATTTTCATTTTATCCATTTAAGAAAAAAAAAAAAATCAGGCGTGTCTATTGAAACCTTACTGAAAGATCTTCTGTAGATCACTGCAGCAACAAAAGCAAAAAGTGCATTTATAACTGTATACAGTATATGTAAAGCAATACTTTAAGAAATGATTTAAAGCTGTTTTAAGGAAATTATTATTGATAAATTTGGATCAAACACTTGGTTATGGCAAATTTTTCCCCCTTTTCTATCCATAAGATACTTGTTTTAGTTGAAGTATAAAGTTAAGGTACAAGAGAGATAATTGTCATGGCCGTACATTACAACACTGGCATTTTAACTGTGCTTTGCACACTTTTTGGTTTAACTCTACATTGATTTGCAAAGACATTAGAGCTGGAGAAGGAACACTCTGTGGCCGAAAAATAAAATCTTAAACTAAGTAATTACTGTGTCCTGAGATTGTCAGATTGTACTTACTCGTAAACTTTAAGCTTGTAGCATTGGCCGTTCAGATACAAATACTCCCAATCTGTCCCATAGTCTATTTCCAGCTTCTTCTGTAGATCACTGCAGGAACAAAAGCAAAAAAGTGCATTTATGACTCTGGATATAATTGTATACTTTACAGAGATGTAAAGCAATACTTTAACAAATGATCTAAAGCTGTTTTAAGGAGATTATTAATTTATGAGAAATTTCTAATATTAATAATAATAACATTGTGAAATACTTTTAGTAACACAAAGGCACAGCATTAAAAGGCTATTAAAGATTGCTTTAGAAACCTTAAGGGCTTGTGAGCTTTTGGCTGTGAGGCTTTATTTCTCTTGCCTGTTTTAGTGACTGAATTCTTGGATAGTAGTTTCATGCGGTGCTCCCTTAAAAGCCCCGTTCCTATGCAGACTCCTCCATTATATAAGCTGGTGAGGACCACTCTTCTTCACTAATGGCAGATAAGGCAAGTGAGCCCTATCTCTAACTGTGCACAAGCCCTCATTTAAATATTCATAACCCATAAGTGCGAATGGGGTTAACAAATGTCTAAGGAGGGTGGTTCTGGATAAGGTAGGTTAGTGTTGGGGAATGAATTGGGGTCAGAGAAGTATTGGAGGTTGCATAACAGTGTGCACATGTGATATGCAGCAAGGGCACAGGTCTTGACATTCATGCACTGACTCATTTTGTGTGTAAATTTCCTTTTACAGCACAAAAGAGAGAGAGAAGCCTGAATTTACAGTTAGGATAAACAGAGAGAAACCTGTAATTAGTTTGGAGCAAAAATGAGCTAGAACATTATGAAAACAATAATGCATTTAACAGAGAGTGAAAAAATATTTAAATTAAATAAAACTGTACTGTTTATTTATTATAAAATATGTACCAGAAAAAACAGGCTTTTGTTAGAAAGTAAAACCCTTGCTACTTAAAAAGTAACATGGCAGCCAAATGCCAAATTTCATTAATTTATCATTAAAAACTGTGAGCACCACAATTAAAGCAGGAGTTTTGTCAAAGTACCACTCTAAAATATACTTTTATTTGCTAATAGCATGCCAGGGCAGAAAGACATCAGCAATGACCTTGCAGAAGCTTTGCAAAGGAAATTAGAGTGACTGTTAAAGTGACTATGTATGTAATCAGTTTTCTCTCTCAAATATTCTTTTTAAATGTTTTTTTTTTTCTGTATCGATAATGACAGTGTGAAATTTGTTGGTGGTTATGAACCATTAGGGTCCGTTTCACAAAGCAGGTTTTCCTGAAAACTATAAATTTTCTAAACCTGAAATAAAGGAAACTGAGTTTTCCGTTTGACAAAGACAGTTTAATCAACCTCTGCTTCTGCTATCATAGTATCATTCTCCCCTAAGCTGACATGGTTGGGAGCAGGTTTTGTTCAGTAAAGTCAAGAGTGTCCTCTGACTCCGCCACCTTTAAGCCCATCACGTTGTTTTATTTCCTGATTTACTCTGGAGATTTCTGCCATAGTTTTGTGTGAACAATAATAGAAGATCATTAAATAGGTCCATTAGAGACATTAGGTATTGAAAACACAATATATCAGTGGCATTAATTGGCAGAGAATTAAATATTTATAAGGAGAAGCTTCTCATTCCGCATATAGATGTCCTTTATATTTAGAAGTTATTATTAGGGCTACATTTTAACCTCACAGTTCATCAGGAAACATCCAGCAGAGATTAAATGGGAAAGAAAAACTGGAGGAAAGTGGACTTAAAATACAAATAAAGAACATAAAACCAACTCCAGCTCTTAGTTCCTCTTTTTTTAAAGAAATAATGTCATGTAAACTGGAAATATAATGACTTTTCAGTGATTGCCACAGTTACTGTGCTTAGCTCTTGTTTATGGTAGTAAACTTTTGTCAAATGTGCATACTGTACATGTTTTACAATAGGTAATGAGTGACAGAATGCGCATGATTGGTTATGAAAAGATAGGATAAATCTGTGCAAGAAGCTTTTAGACCTCTTAACATTAAAAAGGTTAATTCCTTATTATAGTTATTTGCTATTAGAAATGATCATTAATAATTATTACTGGATATTCAATACAGGGTAGGCATTCTTACACCCATATGAACCCTTTAAAAGACCTTTAGATTTTAAGGCTAGGCACTGTTAACATTTTCATGGGCTGATATTAAGGGCCTAGTTTCTGCAATGTTACTAATTCTGCCTTACTCTATACCATGGATGTAAACATTGTACAAACCACTATAAAAAGGCCAGCTGGTTGTGTTATACAAAGAAAAACACCAGGTTAAATGATTTTAAGATCATGCTTGTTAATCTCTAGACATTTCTCATTGAAATTGAATAGATCTAAATTAAGTCATTGCTGACCAAGAGCCTCCATGGATCTGGTGAAACTATGCAGAAATAGAGGAATCTCATTTCATTTCAGCAAAATGATTCCAAACATAGCTCAGACTTCATAAAATAATGGCTCCATGACAGGAAATCAAACAATTAGAAAGTTCCTTGGAGGTTTAAGAACTAAATCTGTCAGAAAATCTAAGACCTCACTTAAAAAAGACTCTAGTCAAGAGATATACTCTCACAACTCACAAAAGATGCAAGCCAAGATTTGACATGCTGATCAGATCCTACTGGATGATAAATTTGGTTCAAACACTTGGTTATTGCAGATTTTTTTCCTTTTTCTATACATAAGATACTTGTTTTAGTTGAAGTATAAAACATACAGGTCAAAGTTAAGGTAAAAGAGAGATAATTGTCATTGCCGTACATTCTGACATTACAAGACTGGCATTTTAACTGTGCTTTGCACACTTTTTGGTTTAACTCTATATTGATTTGCAAAGACATTAGAGCCGGAGAAGGAACATTTATTGGTCAAAAAAGAAAATCTCAAACTAAGTAATTACTGTGTCCTCATTACTAATTTGAGCCATAAATACTTTGGGATAACCCACATAGATGCCACTGAAAACAAGTTAAGAAGATCCTACCAAGCAAAGCACAGTAGGCATCAAATAGAGTTTGTTTTTCTTCATTAAATTTTGCCTCAGGTGTTGCACAGTACAGATTCATTACTGTGCGCTTTTCCACACCCCTTTAGTACAGAAGGATGGAGTATATTTAAAACCTGGCAAACAGTAGCTAAAGTGGTGTCCACAAATATTTTTAGACAGCCAACAATGATTGTGTGCATTGTCGCATTACATTTTTAATGAACCAATCAGATGCAGCAGGAAGTGCAGACTTTCAGCTTTGATTCAATGCTTGAAAGAAGAAAATATTACACAAAAATATAAAGAGCTAAAGCATTCAACACAATCCCTTCTTCAGGTACCAAATCATTAGACCAATCCCAAATAGGATTAATTTTATTTATCTCCAAAGATAGAAGTCATTCACCTGCTTCTGTTCTGTGTCAAACACACGTCTCCTAGTGTTATTATTCTATGGCATAACACTGTTTTACAGATAACGTGGTACGCTATGTATTATGAGCTGTTTCTAACTTTTCCTTGCCATTATACTGGATAAGGATCTGTCCAACTATCCTTCAGAACCGAAAATGTAGATAGTTTTAGGCTTTGTATCCTTGAGACGTATAGCTGGCTTCCACCCAGTAGTGAACTCTCAGTATTTCCTTTCATGCAATCCTCTTTTTATGCTAGACTATTGACATCTCTACCTCCTGAAGAGTTTTGTTCGCTTAACACTGTTCCCCTATGAACGTCCAGGTCTCCTTGGCTTGATAAGTTCACCAAACTATGGATCACTCTTAATACTCTAGTTATTTTTCAGATAATTTTTCTGTTCTGTTTTGGCAACATGAAGATTGTGTGGCTGAGCAAATTCTCAGTCATCCGGGTCATGGCAAACAAAAAACAGCCTTAAATAGTAGGCAACCGGACTTTAATCAGTTTTTCTAAAGACCTTTTAACGTCTACCAAGGAGTCTTTATCACTTATATCACTGGAGCAATCTGTACATCAGGGCACCAATTACCGATGAACGAAAGTCCAGTTGCATCTGATTTAAGCTCGTTTTTTGATAAATATGACTTGATGAGTGTTAAAAAAATCTAATTCAGGTCTTTTAGCTGCATGAAGTGATCTTTGAGTCAACTGTCCAATTAGTTTGGTCTCTTTAAAAAGAGGGTGTCATATGTTGAATAGCTAAAACTCAAAAGGCTCTCTTTATTTTGGGTAATCTAAAATAAAGAAATATGGGAACCTGCAGAAAAATATCCATCCCAATTAAATAACTATAATTGGGATAAAGTATGGTTCACAAAACAGGTAAAAAAATAAACTTTGCGCCATTGTCCAATATATATATAACAAGTATATAAAGTGAGTCAACTTTAAGTGAGAAGTAAATGCATTATCCACACAGTGTTCAACAGTCATCTGTAACTATGTGACAACAGAAGCTAACCTCCCCCTCTAATTCTTTATTTTCTCTTACCTTATTTCCATGTTGACTGTCTCGTAGGCTTCCTCTACCTTCTTCAAGTCAGTAGCCTCCCACTCTGCAGCTAGACAAAACAAAAGGTCAGACAAATTAACAATGCGGAGTTGCTGCGACTCGGCGCCTCGCTTGTTGCCAAACAGCACTCTCCAAATATAGGGTGGTATTTTTAAGGACTGCGAGAGGCAGCGCATAAACATGAGCGTGCTATTTTCAGGTGCGATAAGTGCAGAATGGTGAGCTTATTAGCCTCTTCACACTGGAAAGTGTGTTAACTGAGCTTGTGAGAGGAAAAATAGAAGTCAGAGGCAGAGCGAGAGCTGCAGCAATTACTATATGTCACTTTTATCTCTGTCATTTTCATATGCACATTATATTATGTTTTGAAAGAAGCTTCTCCAAAGTAAGGAAAACATTTCAAGGGGCATTTATGGGATTCAGTATCTACAGTAATCCAAGGACAGGCACAGTAAGTAGGGTGTTGTGAATAGAAGCATTTTGTAGCAAACCTATTTACAAATGCAACCTCTGCAGAGGAATCTTTAAATGTTTTCATATCTTTATCTCAAGGTGATAGAAAAAATAACTTTTTGTTTAATTTGGTAACATTAATATTTTTACAAACAACTCTAATCTTGCATCTTCTTTACTAAACCTGTCTGAACTGAAGGAAAGGTGAGTAAAACATGCACAAGTATGGTCAAGGATCCATGATGCTGTGGGGCCTTTTCTTTTCATAAGGTTTTGCTAATATGAAGCTAGGCTACGGATTTGATTTAACACTTGTATGTCCAGCGGCAGATTGACATGCTCAGTTGAATGGGTCGGCTTATTCAACCATCTCCAAATTGTGGCGACCTGGACTGTATCATGCAGAAGTGTGGCTTCAGTAAGACAGTGTCCCAAAAGACAGAACTAAATCAATTTAAAAAAATGGCTGAGCAGAGATTAAATGATCTTTCTTCACAGTCCTCAGTCAAATCGCAGAGGTAATCTGTGAATTGCACTTAAACAGAAGATAGGTGAAGTCCAAGAATTGGAACATCTAGAGAGATTGTACAAAGAGGAAGGCAGCGACCACTGCTATAGGGGTATGTCTGCTTTTGTGACAAATCTTCCTCTCAAGGATAAAGTCTCCCTCTTTTATTGATGTTCCCAAACTATAGGTGTCATGTTCTGCTTTTTGCTGGCTGGCAGCTAGCCCGTTTCTGCTACGCTAACTAGAGTGAGCAGATGCCCCTGCTACCTGTTGTTATCATACCTATTTCCCTAAGTCCCTCTCTCGGCCAGTGTTGACCAGAATATCTCCTCCTAGTCTGCATGAGACTCATTCAGTGTGAGTGTGCACCACTAGCCTTCCTGTGTTCCTGTGCTCAGTCTACCCTCACTGGATTCCCAGCCGCCTGCAGTCTGCTCAAAGTCTCCCTCTTCTCTGTTCAGTCGTCATCTGCTTTTTCAGGCCTGCAATCACTCAGTTTAGCCAGTCGCCAGTAGGGCTGGGTATTTTCGCCAAAGTCCTGAATCGATTAGATTTTAATTCATGCAGTTCTAAATCGATTAATTTCAATTCCATCTGTTTTTTTACAACAATGAAAGTGCTTCAACTGTATTTCAAAACACTGATGTATTTATTTTTTCCTGTCATATTAAACACAGAGTGCAATCTTGTAAATCAATTTAAACTTGAGATGTGAACAAAACTGTCTCAAAACTGCAAATTTGTTTGTGAAAAGTTAAAAAGCCTCACTGGAGCAAGCAGACGTGACATAGCGGGGACACAGCAGACATGCATGAGCTGCATTACCTTCACTGCACAAACCATATTTGCAGCGTTGTCTGTAACAACTACAGGGTGTTTGCTGGTCAGCCCCCATTTTCTTCAGTCTACCTATTGGCTATATTTGCAGCTGTCTGCCTTGAAGTCATCTTGAGTGCATCTTTCCTGCTCATTTGAATGTGAACGTCACACACGTCACCATAAAACTAATCGATCTCATTCCCTAGACATAAATTTTGCAAAAATTTTGAATTGATTCAAAATCGATTAAATCGTTTTTTTACCCAGCCCTAATCACCAGTTGATTCTCCAATCTTCTGCTTGTTCAAGCCTACAACCAGTCTGCCTGCCTGTATTCCTAATCATTTTCAGCTTGCAATAAACTTTTTGCAAACGCAAACTTTATCTGACTCAAATATCAAGTTCCCTGAAGCCAGGCATTAAAAATGATTATAACTTCTAAATCTTTCACTGCCAAACTATTGTGTTGCAGTGAAATATGAATTGCTGTCAAAGCTTTTTTTTTTACAAATCGTTAAGATCTGTACACTACGCATAATTAAATCCCGCTTTTCTTACCTTATTATCACATTTATAATAGATAAATCAGTCATATTTGTTTTATAAGCTATGGCATTGTTAAAGTGATGGTCTTTTTTCTAGATGTGAAGTAACATCAGCACGGCAATAATTCTTGGATAATTAAATAAAGAGAGTTACAGCTCCTATTGGATTCTTGTCTAAAGCTTTAGAACATTTCTCACTATATCAGCAAATATACACAGTGTCTGACATGTTCAATAATAACAGCTTGAATACCCTGTCAATGCAAATAATAACTGAAGAGGTAAACAAGCTCATATAAATTAATATAGGAAGCAAAAAGACAACGTTACCTGGTGACATCCCAACAATTAAGTATGTACACATACAGTAGCTGCAATCTTTTATCATTAAAAGTGGAATACAATTACTTTACAGTAAAAACATAGAGAGCATATTGGTGCCTGAATCATGCCAGCCCTTAAATGCGGACAAAAAAGGGCTGAAAGGCAAAGAAAGACGAAGGCTGAAAATAGAAGTCAGGACAGTCTCCAATTTAACCACCTGGTGCTGTTGGCCATGTGGATTTAGTGGGTTTTTTAAAAGCACACAGGTTCGCTTCTGACGTCGGAGGAACTCTCACCGGGGGCCAAGCTCTGTGGCAACGGATAGAAATCTGTTTGGGCGCAGCGACCAACTGGGAAGCTGTGACAGCATTGGCCTGTATACCAATTAGCATGTTCCTTTCATTGCATGATTCTCCAAATACGTATTTCTTGGAAAACCTGACACAGAAGTGGAGTGTTTTAAGATCATGGCCACTTTTAAAGCACCAAAATGAATATTGGTGCTTGAATAGAAAAATAACTTCTTAGTCATCTCTGAAGCACTGAAAATAACCAGCTTACCCACAGACATGTTCTCCTCAGCTCTCTCTTGACATTTCACTTACACACAACCAGCACTGGGCTCAGCAATAGAAAGAAAGGAAACATTGAGTCCCAAGTGGGAGACGTCTGACCCACCGCTGCAGTCCTGCTGTACATGGAGGGAGTGGTGACTGTTGGTTAGCAATGGGGAAGAGCAGCCAGGCAGAAAGAATGACCCAGAGCAGGGAACGGGGCATAGCCTGCCTTTTCTATGGTCTCTGCACCAGTTGATGGGCTCTCTATAACCAATGGCAAGCATTTCCTCTATTGATAGCTCCCAGCATTACATTATCAGTTAAGGATAATCACATCATAATCCCATGCATGACGTGATTTTAAACCCTGACTTTGAATTATATTTTAACACCATCGCTAAGGTTTCAAACATAGTTGAAACATGTATTTATGTTGAGAATTTAAGACATAGAAATTCAGAGTAAAACTAAGATGGCCAGTGCATATTTTTCTCTACTGTACAGCACTTTACTAGAAGCCATCAGGAGAGTTGTTAAATCACAGAGGCAGTGTACAAAAATAGAAGAGGACTAACACGTTGTGTAGTGTGCAAAGTCTCCTCCTTTCCCCAGCTGAAAATCTCCTGTGTATCCATACCATGAGCCAGACCGATGATACCGTGTTTACATGCGAGTGGATCGATAGGCGAAACAATTCCTCGGCAGCACTAAGAAAAGAATCCTCAGAGAGTTGGTGATACGCGCCGTCATAGCTGTGCTTGATAACATAAAGCCGATGCAGAGGCCACCATTGTTTGCCGGTGCTTCACTAAAGTAACACACACCTTTGGTTGGAGAGGATATAAACCAGCAAGAGAATGTAGGAGGGTGCTTAGTTGTCTACTGCTTTAAATAAAGGCAACAAACCAAAGGCTTCCATGTTTGTTTCAGTGCACTTTAGACTAGGTTGCAATGCCTAAGTCCTCTGTTGACTCCACTATTTTCATTTGATTAAATAATTTTAGCAGAAGCTTAAAATGACTGCCTCTCTGGAACCCTCACCTCCTTTCTCATTCTCTATTTTATGAGAATCTCTCATTAGTTCAAGAGCTTACTCTGACTATCATTTAGGCAAAAGATCATTATAACCTAATATAGAGGAAAGGCAACAAATATCAGGAGGCCCTGTTCTTTTTGTCCGGATGACCAACTATTTTTCAAATGCTAAATCACAAATCCTAGAATAGAGTAAAATAGAACAGAATATAATTGATCATAATATAATAGAAAAATCCCCTACTGTCCATCTACTCCCTGCTGCTTTTCCTTTTCTCCCAAAAGATCAGTTGAGAGCTGGAATAAGGACCTACTCTGGTAAAAGTTTGGAACTGATTTAAAACCCTAAAATTGATTGCCAAGGCTTAACTAAGCTTAAAAAGCACTGTAAAAACACCATTTTCCTTTTAAAAGCTTTTAAATTTGTAGGGAAGCAAAATCCAAGATTAATCAATAGTGAAGAGTCACTAGAAGTGAAATGAGTTTCAGATTAAAGCCATAACCCAATATTTTAACAGACAAGTCAAAGCTTTTCTTTTCTTCTCTTTCAATCCTCTTCTTCTGTCCACATCACAGAAGCGATTCTGAAAGTGAAGCTCAGGCTTCCGGGAGTTGAGGAGAGGTCAATCTCGCCCTCCGCATAATCGCTGTGTTGGAGTGTCTGATTGTATTAGGGTTGAGTGAATAACTAGCCTTGTGACTGACTCAGTTTCTATTCATTCTCCCACGCTCTCCTGCAACTCTTTTTTTTTCTCTTTTTCCTAAAGTGGTGGAAGGACAAGCGTTGCACAGCAGCGAGGGTGTACTG